GAGTAGCCAATGGAAGTATGGCATATCCCTTGGAAGATTCCCAATTTCTCAATTTATCAACCCATCAATTATTTTCTTTTCATTCAAATCTTCTTATAAAGGGTAATATATTATCACATGCATGATATATACAAATTCATAAAACAAATTGAATATGAGGAAATTATGTTTGCGTAAAAGGGACATATGTGTCTATAATTATATAGATATAAGGTTTTTTTTTTTTTGGGGGTCTAAATTAGATATAAGTTTATGTATATGAGTCTATAAAGAAAGCAAAATAGCATCTTATGAAACCCTCTCTCCACAACACCAAAACATGAGGGTGATGTTGGCTCTTCCCTGAGGAAGTTAGAACCTGCTGTTTCAACCAGCGGGTTCTCTTTATATATGTAGATAGGGCAACTCGATCGGATCCTTTGGCATTTTCCTCTACGTGGGATTGAAGATGGAGAAGAAGAAGATGTGTGTATCTTCTGACCTTTAAGAATTCTGTTCAAATTATGTTTTGGTTTATGGTTTCACTTCTTCTGGTTTGTATTATTTACCTCTTTTGTCTTTGACTCTCTTTCGATCTATGTGTTTGTGTTTTCTATTATATAAACTTGATAATTACTACCCTATATTATTAAGTTTACGAGTTGATGATGGGATCTTATGCACTTTTTCTCATTAATATCGCTATTGTATTACGACTTTAATTCGATTCAAGTTGAAATTATGCTACCTAACCTAAGACTTGACAATTGTAGGGGGAGAAAATGCACTTCCATTCAATAAACATTTTTTTTCTTCTGGTTGGAATAATCTCCTGATGATGATGGATTTGCGTTCCACTTCTGGTTTTGATGAACTTGGAGTCGACATTAGATAAAAGATAAAATGAAATAAAAAGTAACTTGATATGAATTAACTTGAGTTGCATAAAATCTAAAAAAAATGTTCGTGCTCCTGCTAGCATAGAAAAGCAAATAGATTAAAGTAACTTGAGTTGCATTTACTAGCCTTTGGAAAAAAAAAAACGAATTGTTCTAACACTTGAAAATATGTTGGAGAAAATTATGTTAATATCAAGATGAGTTCTACTAAACAAATTGCGTTTGTCTACAGTTTTTGAGATAAAAACGGATGACAAATGCAGATAGAAACGCTGTTTTTTTATTAAACAAATTGCGTTTGGTTACAGTTTTGAGATGTCATCCGCTTGTATAAACGCTGTTTTCTTTTACTAAACAATTTTGTTTTGTTTCTAGTTTTAAGATAAACTGATGAAAAGTGCAAATAGAAACACTGTTTTTTTACTAGATAAATTGCGTTTGTTTACAGTTTGTGAGATATACCGATGACAAATACAAATAGAAACGCTGTATTTTTTTTACTAGACAAATTGCGTTTGTTTACAGTTTTGAAATGTCATTCGTATACAAACGCTGTTTTTCTTTTTACTAAACAAATGGTTATGTTTACACTTCACAGTTTTGAGATAAGCGAATGACAACCAGCGATCTAAACGCTGTTTTTTTTCAGAGAAAAAAGAAACGCAATTATATTTGCGTTGTAAAATCTGGGCCTTGGGCCCTATTTTTTCTTTCTTAAAGAAATACCCTTCTAAAATAACAGTAATTACGAAATTTGCCACTGCCGAGTAGACTGTAATTTACTGCATTTCTCTATCCCTTCCTCTCAAAGGCTGCAAAATCCTTGTTTCATCTTCTTCCTGCAGATCCATCTCTGTATCCTCCCATAAACCCTAATTTATCCATCGATTTCGATCTCATGTTAACTTCCAATCCTCATATATCCGCGATTCGTCTCTGAACTCCAATAAACTGGTTTTCAAAGACTCCTTCAAGGTTCGTTTCGTTTTTTCTTCACTATATTCCCAGATTCACTCTATTCAAAAACCTAAATATTTTTGAATGCCTCCGATTAGGTTAAAGCATGTTTGATTGGACTTGATTACTGAATCCATGTTCTTAGTTTGCTTCTCTCCTTTTCTTCATCTTTCTTTGTTAGATTTCTCTGGAGGGTTTTTTTTTGTGGAGGAGGTTGTTTTGAAATGAAGGAAGAGTTTGTGTCCGGGTTGATAGGCGGCGGACAGCTCTGCGGTGGCGAGATCAGTTCGGTTTGGCAATCTCCGGTTAAGCGGATGGCTTTAGACGGAGGAGCTTGTGGGGAAGGTGGTGACAGGAGTAGGACTAGCTGTAAGAGAATCAAAACGACTCAGGTTAATGGTTTTATTGTTTACACTCGAACTAGGAGGACTAAATTCACCAAGCTTAATGAAGAAGATGGAAATACTGGATTTTCGGAAAATATTAGAATGTCGGATCGAGTTTACGAGTCGAAACCAACAATTGGCGTTACAGTTCCCGCCGGTGATATGTGTCACAGAGATTCAATAGCTGAAACTAGTATCAGTGGGAGTTCTTGTATTAATAATGCACCTGTTGAGAGTCCTGTCGGGAAAATTCCTATGGAAGAGCGCTTAGTTACTGGAAGCTTAGCTGAAATTATGGCAACTGAGAAGTTCAAAGAACGGGATACTGAGACTGACAGTAGTTCGTTAGTCGATGTTGTTATTGAAGACATCCAATTTGTAGAAATGCTACATGAAGCTATTCCTGTAGAAGTTCTCTCAGAAGGAAGCTTGGATTTTGAGGTAGGGAGAGTAGGCAATAAAACCACGAGAAAACCCTGTTGCGCGTCAGAGGAGAATAGGCATGGATCTTTAAAGCGTACTATGCAGATTTATAAATCAGTTTTGAGAGTGAAGAAGGTAAACAATTTAGTGCCTGATGATGTAGAGGTTCTGGCAGAACAGTCTGATTCTGTGAGTCTGGTTGACAAGTCAAATTTACTCCGCAAGAGGCCATCTACAGTGAGAGACCTTTTTGAGACCGGTATACTTGATGGTGTGCCGGTGGTTTACATGGGTACTATTAAGGTTGGGATATTCTGTTTTGGTTTGCACGCTTTTGAGACCATTTCATTCTAGCTTAATCTAAGAAGTGATTTGTTTATGTGCCAGTCTCAAGTCTTTGGTCTCCGTGGCATCATTAAAGATGGTGGAATTTTGTGCTCTTGTTCCTTCTGTGATTGGGCTAAAGTAAGCATACGTTTCCACTCTGCAATTCAAAATGCAGGTTGACTTTGATGATCTCTTGTAATTCTATCAGACATACTCTGGTATATAAACACATTCTTTTTGTAGGTTATCACAACTTCCAAATTTGAGATTCATGCTTGTAAACAATACAGACGAGCATCACAATATATTTGCTTTGAGAATGGTAAGAGCCTGCTAGATGTTCTGAAGATTTGTAGGAACGCTCCTCTACATTCTCTTGAAGCAACAATTCTTGATGCTGTTGATAGTAATTCTAAAGAAAAACGTTACACCTGTAAAAGATGCAAATGTGAGTTTCGTTATCTTATTTCTCTCTAGCTTGCTCTATAATGTATCGAGTTCTTTGATTTTGGGTTAATATTTGAACTTAATGCCTGTGGTTTCTAGGCATGTTCCCTATATCCTCTCTTGGCCATAGAGGGTTTCTGTGTTTGTCATGCTCAGAGGTACAAAATTATCAGGCCAGCCCTGCTGCCAGAAGGACCCCAACTAGTGCTCCTGCAGGCATAACATCTCCAGTTAAGAGCACACTGAAGATAAAAAAAAAGTTGGTAACCTTTATTCTATGTACTCTTAGTCATAAAATGTCCCTTCCTTGGGCACCCT